GAACTGAAATATGATTTGTATGGAACTGTTGGGCTCGCCGTCAGACTTCCATCCGATCCATTCGTATCCCTTATTAACTTTATAGTTGTCGTCACCTCTGATACCATCGACCAGTTGTCCGATACCTTCGGATAGATATCCGTGTGAGTCCTCCCGACCATCATATGTCATGTCAACCAAATCGCCGAATCGACCGCTTTTATAGCCGTCTGGCATTGAATACACGACCGGAAGATCTCGTTGTTTGCAACCAAACAATTCCAGCCGAAGACAAGTAGTCCTCTGATGGCTGGCAAAGGGCACGACTCGTATCAGATTAATGCCAACCAATGGATGTGATAACTCATGACTTAAGACAGTATATGTGTCCGTATTTCCGTGAAATTTCTATGGGATAAATATTTAACACAACAATCAATAAATTGTTTTGATAACCGTTTCAATCCTATCACTAACGATGAAATTGAAAATGAATGATAACATACATGATCCCCATTCTGATCGGTCCACTTATGCCAAGTGCTTCCGTTATCGCGTGAATATTCAATCCAAAAGCCCTCCACGTATTCAACGCCCACTCCATTGCCAAACCGGCCCTGAATTGCAATACCGGTGACCACATACTGGTCCCGAAGATTCACTTGAATCCATTCGGTGCCCGACTCGCGATCATTCAATTGCTTCAATGGACACCACGCGCCTCCCGATAACTCCCGGTTTAGGCTAACATATAGAAAATATATTGCATATATAAATAAATAAATTTTTCGTGTGAACTATATTGTTTAGTAATGCAGTTATGGTAAATTTAATTAAATGCTATCTTAAATATATGTTTAATTATGTAATTAAGTGTTGGAGACTAACCGTGCGTTTTGAGGTCCAACACTGTGTTGACTATAGGATGACGAGGCGGTGATGTCCTCATCGGGAATGACCCCCGACTCCATACCCAGTGCTTTAGGACCACCGGAATAGTCGCATAACACACTCTTTTTGATGTCGATAATTGCATCATCTGTTTTAAAATACAGAATCAATTCATAAATAAATGTTTATAAGCTTTTAATTGATAATTATTGTTAAAATGTAATCTAAATTCACATTAAAATATTTGTATAAATTATTGCTGAGAAGTTTTTAAAATATTTATAAGATATTGTATGTTTCATAAGCAAGAAAAATGACCATTTACATTTGTATTTTTACAGCTTCTATGCTATGCTATTGTATGGCAATAAATATTGGTTTTTATTTTTTAAGAAAATATATACTTTGTATATAAATGAGAATATATTCTCTCAACGCTTGGCTTGACTTTTGACTTCATGTGTAAAAAAATAATATATCTGAATATATTTTGTCAAAATTTATATATATTTATACATTGAATTGAGAAATAAATAATAAAACCCTCAAAACAGTTATTTGTATATAAATAAAGTTTTTTTTGTTTGAAAACCATTTGATTCTTGGAATAAACACTAGAAGTCAAGTGAATATACAGTTATTTATACTTTATTTCCAGCGATAATATCTGTAGTGAAGTGAATGTTGCTATCATTACAGCGCCCGACGACTATTCATGTCATTTACATCACTAATACATTATTGTTATATCATTTGTATACCAAATGCCCTCCACTTCTGGATATATCTCTATAATATTTTAGTCGATATATGAAATCTATGAATGAAATGTAAAAATATAGCCATAATATCGGAATCGCGACAAATAATAATATGGTATTAAAAAAACGCATAAAGAGTTGCAATAAAACCCTAGTATTTATTTATCAATACCATTGCCAGAGGTTTTTGGTATTTTTGTGCGATATTTCATTGTGTTTTGCCGTTATATTTATTGTTATATTTTCGTCGCTTGTATTGAAACGTATAATAAAGCAACAAAAAATGTCAATCAAAAGGACTGAACACATCATTTATCGCAACCGCACGGAGAGAGAGAGAGAGGAAAGAGAGAGAGAGCGAGCGAGCGAGCGAGCGAGAGAGAGAGAGAGA